TTTTTTCGGGTCATTCCCGGGTCAATCTCAGGTTTCCGGGTCAACCCGAACCCGACCCGGTTTTGCAAATGGTCGGTTTTTCGGACCCGAATCCGACCCACTTCGGGTTCGGGTCAACCCAAACCCGAAATTTTCGGGTCGGGTTCGGATCGGGTCCAATATTGACAGCCCTAACTGTTCTCATTTCTACATGATGCCCTCTCTAATATATTCTTCTACAACGCAATGGTTGTATTTCTCTCTTACAAGTTTGCTCATGTTATCCTGGTATTATAGCTCGAGGATTAGCCTGATAGAACAAATCCGTACCATGCCAGTATTTGTTGGCCTAGTGATCAGGTTTGCCCAAGATTTTGGATTCAATGACATAAAGGTATGAGCACCACCAAAAGATTGTTGCACGTCGCCATCCTAGAACTAGGAATCAGTTGTTTGACATTATATATATATATTTTTAATCTGTGTTGTCTTTTAGCAGCAATTTTAACTCCAACTAAAAGAGCTGTTAATAGTGTTGTTGAAGTTTTCCTATTGCAGCACTCAAGAAACTGCTGTGAATGCTTTTTCAGCAAACACAAATACAACGGTTTCTAAATCATTACAAATAATTTAGTAGGTGTTTAAACTACTGAAGTAGGTTAAAAAAGTTTGCTAAAGTCTGATTTATTAGTAGTGCAAACACTCTTATATTATAATTAAAATATTTTTTTTTTAATTTGATGCCAACTATCTCCAATATTTATAATAACTTAGTTTAATATATTAAAAATGTCTAATCATAAATATTTTATACCATTAAAATTAAATTCATATAACCTGATGAACATATATGGGTTCAATTTTATTGCCTTTTTAATGGACCTGCCTACTGCTGAGTTGTTGTTTGAGCTCTTTGACTTTCTTACTGTTTTATAAGGCTACTATAGAGAAAGCAAAATTATATAAATCAACTTATTTGGTCAAAATTTTTTAAAAATAATGAAAAATAATAGTTATTAGTTAAATAGTTTTTTTTTTTTTTTACATTTAGGCCAATTAAGTCAAACTCGCACACATCGCACATCAAATATTCAAGACTCGAACTCAAATCTCTTAGTTGGTAGCCAAAGCTCTCAACCAACAAACTAAGGCGCTAAATAGAAATATTAAATTAATTTAAATGTGATATAATTTCAATTTTTTTTAAGAATTTAATTCTGAAAATTTCATAATATTATATATTAAATTTTAGATAATCATACCCACATGATTCATTCACCCCATGTAGGCTCTTAACCTATGACTACAAGAAAAGCCGACGTCCTTCTTAAGGCCCGACGTCCTGCTTAAGGCCCGACGTTCTACCAAAGGCCCGACGTCCTGCTTAAGGCCCGGCGTTTTGCCAAAGACCCGACGTCCTGCCGAAGACCCGACGTCACTCAAGGCCCGACATTCAGACCCCACGCTCAGCTCACGTCATCCGATCTTCCAAGTGATACTGGGTCTAACACCCGACTCCTTTTTGATAGTAACCAGTTGTAATCTGAACACCCCTGAAGGTGATTCAACCATTTGTAACCGATTCAAAGTTCTAGTGGAATCATTTTCAATTGGGCTAGGCCCCGTGGTTTTTTCCCTTTTCAAGGGTTTTCCACGTTAAAAATCTTGTGTTCTCTGTGTGTGAGCTAGTTATCCGTTCAACGCTAAGACGCAGAATTAAACCTCTATCGCAGCGTATTTTCTAGCCCGCAACAAGCTTATAATCATTTTTCAATTTATCAAGCATAATGAAATACAATATTTTGCTTTGAATTATGCATTTATTTTATTTTTTTAATTATCAATCAATTTATATGAAAATTTTATGCATCCTTAAATGAGAGGCTGATTCCGCCCCTCGCTAGTTTTCATGCAATAATTCTAATAAATATATGACTGATAATTGGTAGTTGCAGTTTACATTGATCTGTTGATTTGAAGCTTAACGGTTTTTTTTTTGGACGGCCTTTTTATTATTTATTAAAATATTTTTTTGCATAAAAAGTAAATTTTTTTTTATAAAAATTTACTTTAAAAAGTAACAAAAAAATCGTCACCAAGCTTAATAATTTGACTTGAATGTCCCAAAATAATAATAACCAGCAGTGGGACTGTCTTCCGTCATTGGCTAGGTCTCCATCTCACGATCGTTCTCTGCTGAGGTTCCAAAATGTCTTCTTGCACGGCGTTCACGGCTTGGTCACCGCTCGAGGAACAGCCGGCAGTCTTCGATTCCGAATGTACCTTCCCTACAGGAATTTCTCCTACTTCACCGCCTCATCCCACTGCTATTATTCGTCGTCGACCACGGCGGACTCGAGGAGAACTCCGACGCCGCTCCATCCTTCATCCCACCGCCACCATCGCCTCTCCTCCGCTTCTAATGATGAAAAGGAAGCCTGATGTTTCCCCTTCCGCTCCTCTTAAACGTTTCAGGGGAGACGAAAGCGCTGCGCTCTTCATCAGGGAGCCCTACGAGGCCGCAATAGACCGTGAACGCGCCGCCTCCGTCGCTGCCGCATTGGAGCACGCTTTCTGGGTACCGAATATGGCAAATGGCGAAGGATTTGAACTGAAGATCGAAGACTTTCTCGTCGCTATGACCGGAACTAAGCTAGCCAACCTTCCCCTTTTTGAATAAGGTTTCCCTGTTTTAGGGGTTTTTTTTTCAGAAAGAACAATAAAAGAAGCTCATTTCATTAGGGTTAGTCGCTAGGGTTTTTCTTAGAAAGAAGAAAAGTCCTTTCATTAGGGTTAGGCATTTCACCTTTGTATGTTGATCAATGTTGATGGGCTAAATGGTTTGATGTAAACGTTTGCTATAGATAATGAAATGGTTCATGTGAGAGAAATTATTCTATGCGGTGTCCGGAAATAATTCTCATTCGGACTCCAATAAAATCATGACACAAAGATTGTGCACGTGAATATTCATTTGTATTTCATTTTTAAATTTTTTTTCTTCTTTTTTGGGTGTCGTATTCAGATCTGAACTGTGTTATTATAATATGCTATTTTTGTTTGTTGATGATTTAATGTTAAGTTTTAAAATTTTGCAATAAAGCTTATATAGTGTAAAGTCATTATCAAATATAAATGACATTAAACAAAAATATGAGTGAAAAAAATTATATATAATGTTTTATCACTCATATGCTCATTAAGAAAATATATAATGTTTATATCAGTGATAGTAGATTCATAATGAAAATATAATATGTAATCAGTGATAGTGTTTATTTGATAAAATATGTTTATATCATTCATAGTTTATATAATGTTTATTTGATGATGACTTTATATTTTGTAATGAGCCTATCATTCGATAGTAGATTCATATTTTATATGATAATGACATTAAGCTTATCTTCTATCAAAATTAATAGGCTCTTAATTCACCACTCGCTTTACACCAAAGTGTTGCCAATTATGTTTCTCGCCTTAGCTATAGAAACATCGTTCTAAGAGGGTTTTATTTTTCCCATCATAGTCAACCAACCTAGGAGCTCATTATTCCCACAACATATCCTCATTTGCCTACTACTCCTTGGTAATCCAGAGCTCCACCACAGGTCATTGATGACCTCAGCAACAACTTTCTCAAACAAACTCACCTCACATGTAACTATTCTTGTAGCCCTCAAATCTCAAAAGCTAAATGATGAAGATGAACAATTCGGATTTTTTGTATCTTTTAGCATGTATACTACATATATTTATGTCATCAAATTACTTCATATAGTACTTTCCCCTCTCTTTCTTTCTATTCGCAGACAAGTTCCAAAGTGTAATCTTAGAGCTTACCTATTAGTACGATCTAATGTCATCTACGAACAAATTTGGATCTAACATCCTGAAAAGTACAGTGAGTATGGATTGATGCCAATAATTGACCTGATCACAATTAAATTAAGCATAGAGAGAACTGAAATAATTGTTTGCAAAGATACTTATTAGACACAATTTATTATGGCCCAAATCACCACAATTGAATCATAAATTAAAAGACAAATTTAGCAACTGAATTGCATATTAAACAACACAACATTGTTGTTAACTAAAAATAAAATAGATATAAGAGTTAAAAAAAAAAAAAGATTATGGCCAACAAACTAGTCTTCAAGTCCTTCCTCCAAGAAATTGCTCCTAAATTCCTTTTCAAACCTTCCTACACTCACTTTCACTAACACATTGATAAAGAAGAAGAATAAACAAAAACTCATCCCCTATCAATTTAGGCTCGCTATTTATGCATAATTAGAAAAAGAGCTATCAAATTGCTCTGGCAAGCTCTTAACGCTGCAATACTAAACTTAAATCATCATAGCGCTTCACGTGTGCAACTATCCATTCCTGTAATAAATATATGTAGTATTCATGCTAAAAAGTTGATTTTAAAAACTAATAAGCAAGCTATTGGGACAGCTTATTGTTTTCTAAAAGAATTTTCCAATATTTGAGCCAAGTTTGCCAGTGAAGTTTGTCGATAAGGCTGTAGTTTTACTAATAACAAATCACCAATGTTCAATATCAGCTCCCTTTGCTTTTATCTGTTTATTGCTTCATCCTATTTTGTGTCCATTGTAGGTTTATTCTCAGCTGTTGTAAGATTTTATCTCACTCACAAAATAGAGAAATTATTCTATGCGGAGATCAGACATCGAGAACCGTCCGGATTAGTTGCTCTTTAACTGCCCTTTTGCAAATATTCGACAAAAGAACAACAAATATGCATTCATAATTGCACTTTTGTTGTCCTTTTGTTGAGTATTCGCAAAAACTCAGCTAAATGACAGGTAAATCACAACAAATCTGGATGGTTCTCCCGTCTGATCTCCGCACAAAATAATTTCTCCACAAGAAGGCCTACCTACTGCTTCAATACTTGATGCTTGATAATCATAAGGAATAATAAGAGGAGGTGGACGGCCATGAAATGGAGTGATATCAAACGACGTATATGTCGCAGTGTTAATAGAAAATTTTCTGCAGGGTAGAAATTTCACCCATTTGGATAGAAGTTGTCCTAAATCTCAGTCTGTAACTTCAATTTTACCCATCTGATTTTGGGTGATCATAATTTAAAGTTATGCATAAAAATAGGATCATGATATAATGCATTCACCTTAGGAATACTACCTAATTTTCAGCTCCCACAGTCAAAGCTGAAAATTATTAGAGTGAGCACATTTGAAGGGCAAATTATTGTGTCTGGTGTCCAGATTCGTCCGGACACCAATAAAAACACGCCACGTCATTCAAAAAAATCGGGGCCCAGTGCATCCGGGTGAGGTGGCATCTCTGGATTGGTTGTCCGCATGTCAGCTGACTGGACGCAACAATTTTCCCATTTGAAGAGGCAATCTACTACTACTATAATGAATGACTTGCCAAGAGATTTAGATAGGCTTGTAATAAAATCCATGGTAATTTCTTTCCAAATTATTGTTGAAATATCTTTCTTCATTGTAGACCAATAAAATTATGTCGTAACTCTTGCTGATCTGCTACATATACCTCCATGTCCACCAATCGGGTACGTTGAAGCTCTGTAAGTATTTTAATTTTTTTATCTGGGTCTTTAGTGATGCTCTTAAAGAGTTGCCCGTCCAGTATAGTCCGTCTCCACGTGAATTTTTTCAGCTAAATGCACACTATTTTGAGTGGAGGCTAACATTTTGTTGAATTGTTGAACGCCATTCTCCCTTCTCATATCCTTTGTCGACGTTTCTGAACAAGCTTTCCATGACATGCGTCAGCAACCTTATTAAACGCAAGCAATTTATGTTAAATTCAAAGAATTGAAGAGGGAAAAGACTTAATTTTATTATATAAAATTATCCCTATATATACAAGATATCTTAATAAAGAAACAAATAAATGCGGAATCATGCATAATTGCCTTTAATATAATCCTTCCTAAATCAGCTACCCAAATGTGGAAGGAGATCGTGTGGGCTATGAAAATTCAGCGTCCCGGCCTCTACGCGCCAACTCTTTCATTGACGTTTGACGAGAAAAGTTTTAACGAGTTTAGGTTCCATGGTAAATTTTCAGAAGGAAGTAGTTGTCAGTGCCTACAAGTTACATCTTGCAGCCTCCAGAGTCTGTCACCACTTGCCATCTTCAGCTAACTTTCGAGCCCAAAAAAATTTACATTTGTTTGTATCTCTTTGCCTATTTTACATTTTATGGTTTTTGAATACTTTTGTGTTGATGATTTTGGAGGTTACTAGGATTCAACATTTTTCACCTCAGTTTTCACATACATGCTGATGTCGACATCCTTTAAGAATTTTAAGATTTTTGAATTTAGGGTCTTCTTTTTTTTTTTCAGTTTTAGGATTCATATTATGCTTTTTACTCTAAAAATTGTTGTTGGATTGTCGCAACTTGTAAAGATATAAAGTATGCTTTCTCAGTTTTTCTGGTAGTTTGGTTTAGAGTGAAATGGTGAATGCTTTTGATCTTGTCAGTTCTTATCTGTGCTCATTGTTATTGTATTTTTGTTGTTATGCACTTATGATTCTCTGGTAGTCTAGTTTAAAATGGTGAATTCTTCAGATCTTCTCATGATCTGATCTCTGCTGACTAACTGAGTGCTAACGGCTGCCAAGCTACGGTCTTATGGTTGTGTACTTATGGTTCCCTAGTTTTAAACTTTTACTGCTTCACTGGATTTAAACTTTTATTGCTTCCCATCTCTGTTATGGTTATTAGGTTATGTTGTGCACTAATGCAATATGAAGTTATGACTGTGAAGTTATGTAATGTACAAGATTTTATGTTAAAGCTGTGAAGTTATTTATTGATTCACAGTATTCTACCCTTAAGTTATGTAATTCTATTTTAGGTCTTCTTATTTTACAATGAAGAGAATACTAAGCTCCTATTTTAACAGGATATTTCCAAAAATTGGCTTTTTTATGCCAATCTAGCCTAGATGGTTTCGTTATATAATTAAGAACTTAATGGGTAAGGGTGTGTGATTTAATGTTGTTTTACATCATCTGAAATTTGTTCCTCTTGTTTATGAGTTGTTTTGAAGCTAATGAAGTTTCCTTGTTGTCAATCGATCTGCATTGAAGGATTACTCTGTAAATCATAGAATCTTTATATTTCCACTATTTTTTTTAAGTGTGTTTTCTTTCATTCAATCAATTTCATATTTTATTCTCAGCTTATGTCACTTTTGACCATTTCATCATTAATTGAACTTGAACTGAAGAGATTCAAATGTTCTGTGCAAATGTTAGTTGAATTGAGTATCTTGCATTCAATAAATTTGAACTTTCTAAGTTTATTGATCATATTTAACTGAATTGTGTTGTACTCTAATAAGTTAGATCCAAATGACATATAACATGATCTCTTCCGCATCAATCAATTACAATATAAGAGTACATTATATTTTGTAACTATATTTAATTTCATTTGTTAGATGGAGGACTCCAATATTGTCTTTGAAAGTACTAGTTTTCCTGAAAATGTACAATTTCATAACAATGGAAATGAAATTGAAATAAACACTAATAAATTTGATGATGTTGATATCAGTAACGCCGATAATAAAGAAAAGGACGGGGTAAATACTCTTAAGAGAAAAAGAAAAGAAAAGATGACTTCAACTGTATGGGGTCATTATGAGATGTTAGCCCTAATTGCTATGGCAAACAAAGATGTAAACACCAAAAAATGTTGCACTATTTACCAATGTGATAGTAAGAATGGGACTAACAATTTAAAATGTCATTTGCAAGTTTGTAAGAAGAGAAGTACCCGTTATATAGGCTAACTATTTTTGCAATTGAATTCCATCCCATCTATTTCCTTGACTTATTGAAAGTTTTACCACCAAAAGTTCAATGATCTATTCACTGCTTGCATTATTATGCATGATCTACCATTTTAATATGTTGAATGAGTCGGTATACGCGCATTACTTCGTTATCTCCATCTTGACCTACAGGTAGTTTCTAGAAACACAGCTAGAATTGACTGTAATAAGTTTTTCATTAAGGAGAAAGTCAATATTCAATCATCATTGAGTAGATGTACTAGCAAAATTTATTTCACTCCAGATCTATGGACTTCTATCAATACTGATGATTTTATTTATTTAGTTGTACATTTCATTGATAACAGTTGTTGACTATAGAAAAAGATTATTAATATTGATTTTAAATCTCTTCCACATGATTTGATTGCATTGTTGAAAAGCTTCCATCTTTTTTGAATGAATGGAAGATTGAGAGCAAACTTTTTGTATCACTATGGACCATTAAGTGGATGTAAACATAACCTTCAAAGGCTACCTAGCCTTTATCATGCTCTACATTGACAGGTAAGCTGTAGCAACTCTTAATTGCAGCAAGTTGCAAGATCTCTTCCTTTGAGAACTTCCTCGTCAATGTTATAACTCAAAAATAATTATAAATGAATTTGCTAATCTCAACTTAATGAATTCTTGTGTTGTGGTAACCCACATAGCTTCTCAGGTGTAAGATCTATATAATGTGTAGCAAATAGGGTCAATATTATTTTTTTCTCTTTTTCATCAATTTGGTTTTGCTGCCCTATAAATACTAATGTTATCTGTCACAACTTGCACAACTAAGTACTCTTCTATCTTCTCAACCACATCATATAGTAATCTAAAAATATAATCAACAACTTTCACCTCATCAGATGCTTTTACATATTTTAAGAAAATAATGTCACATGGATTATTTTTTCAGCTTGAGCCATACGCCTTGATCCGCCTTGAGGCTTACGCCTCACTTCGCAAAAGCAAAGCACCTCAATTTTTTATTTTTTATTTCTTTAAACCATAATAAATAAAAGAGCTTGTGCAATTTTACATCCCATTCAAATGTATTATATGTGGAAAGGTAGCCATGAGTTCATGTCTATCTTTATTGTTAGCTACTGAAGTTTGATAAATTGTTGTATTTATTCCTTGTCCTTTTTAACACATATTTAGGTATTTATGTTCTCTCATTTTTTGTACTTTTTAATTCATCATTTTAAATTTAAGCATTATTTTGATTCCAATAGTAATTTCGCTCATTTTTTAGGAAATTTTCAAGTAGATTTCAATAATGCTACGCTTCAGTAAGTCTCCCGCCACCAATTATTTGTCCAACATTTCTCGAAGAGCATGCACGTTGCAATGTAACTACTCTAATTTCAATTTTCTGACTCTCCATTGTGATAATGTTTCTATTGAAAGATGTCATAAATTTAACATTCAAGTACCTTAGCATGATTTCAAGTATAACATACACACTTATTGATGTACCATTTGAAACCTTTTTTTGGCGCATTGTTTGCTTTTATTTGAACCCTTGCTAGGAAAGAGGTTTTCAAAATTCAAGCAAAATAAATTTTTAAATATATATTTTTTTTATGCATCCATGTTTTTTGATATATTTTATTTTGAGTCAGATTTCCCTTGAAAGGCACACACGTTCTTGCATTAAGCACAATGATACACCTTTCAGCAAGATTTGATTTAAATCAATTTTTGTGCTTTTATCAATGTCTTCATTTTGAGCACTTAGTTTTGCATTCATGTGAATTATTTCCCGGGATGGATATTTTGTGGTTATAAATAGAGGATTAGTGGATTTTCTTCACATTCCATTCAATGTATTATATGCAACAAAGTAGCCATGAATTCATCTGTCTTTATTGGTTAACCGCCAAAGTTTGGCAAGTTAATTCTTTTATTCATTCTTTGCCCTTTTTTTATATCACCTCTAGCGCATTTTTAAGTAGTATGTTATCTCATTTCACACTGTTTAATTCATCATTTTGATGATAGCCATTTTTTAGGTTACAATGGTACTTTCAACAAGGCTTCTGCATCACACTTGCCCCTCCCCGTGAAGGGGCAGCTAGAAAACATATAGGGCATTCCCATCATGCAAAAAAGGCATTTATATGCAGTGAATGAGAACCAAGACCAAATTTAAGGCCGCTCACATGCAAAAAAAGGCATGTATGAGTAGTGCTCGAAGCATTTTGATGAACATTTTGTGTCCACACTAAGAAATGCATGTTTAAACATTTACAAGGAGATTCTCTACACAAAATATCATACAAAATAATAAATAAACTTCCTACAACATCAAGAAATATACATATATGTAGCTCCTGAAGGAGCTATACCTTAGGTGGCATGAGAGATGAGTTTGGGAAGAGGAGGGAGAGGAATGAAGAGGGATTTCTATACATTTAGGAGAGGATTTTTGGTGGTAGATAGAATTCCAAGACGCTAAAGCTCAGTCTTCGCCACCTCCAGATGCCATCCATCAACAAACATCAATGCCCACTATTGTCAATGTCCAATGAACATCAATCACTAACCTCCAAGGCCCATTAGCCGGTGATGTCTGACACTCGGCGACCCAAGTGTACCAATCTCCCTTCCTAAAAAGAGAAAATACTACCAACCGTCCAATTGTTGCTTAGCTTTTGACTTTCAGCACTTGCCACTGATTAACTCCAACATTTGTTAATCTAATTGCCCCACCTACTATAAAAACAGCCATGTTGATCATAATTATTCCTCAACTTTCAATAATCCTAATCAATTATCACTCAATATTCACCAATGGCCAACATTCAATGCACATCAGCCACCAATGTCCAACCCACCTTATATATTGGTCGTTCGATTTCCTCTCCTATGTTAACCTTCAAATTATACCCAACAACAAACAAAAAAAATCCCGCATACACATACCTTATACAGGGCG